ATAATGTTAATCGTTTTATTTTTATCGAATATAATTCTAATTCAATCTTGTTTGTTTTGTTTTTCTTTAGAATATTTTTGAAATAATTAGCGAGTAGTAAGGAACCAACTCGTTTACAAGTTTTAAAATTATTTTATTGGTTTTTTTGTCTTCAACAAAGTACAATTAAGTATAAAAAAAAAAATTATTTTATCATAAATATGATATTTTCAATTGAAGATTTAGACGAAAAACAGATGCTATGCAACCACATAATCTTGTTGCATTATTAGTAGATCGAATTTTACTTCATTCAAATGGCTTTATCATATTTATTTATAATATTTTATTCGAAGTGAAATTGAATAAATGATTATCTCATGCTATTCGTTGTTTTTCTTTCGATAGATAATTGTAGAAAAAGTAAGTAAATCATTTGTAGAAAGATGCAGTGCGCAAATAACTGGTGATTGAAAAATTGAAAATTGAGATAAGAAAATATATTTGAACTGTTAGAATATACATATGATAGTTTACCAATGATCAAAACAATGACAACATTATTTCGAAATTCATCAGATAATATTTATTTATATAATAGAATAATCTCGTTTTCTTGTTCATATGATTTTATTTTCATCTGCAACTCTAGAAAATCGAAGGTAAAAAAAAAAACGACAACCATTAAATTTATTTATTAATTATCTTTCTTAAGAATTATTTTACAAATATCTGTTTGACAAAATTATTTGCTTGATCTTGCTTCTATTTATCAACAAATTCAAGTAACTTATAGAGTTTTAGAATTATTAAGAATTTTATTACATTATGCTATTAAATTCGAATTTAGTAGATTGAGAGTTTGAATTGATATATTTTTAATTTAAAATGTATCAGTGAAATGAAGAAGAGTGCTTTTATATGTAATTTCTATTTTTATTTCTTAGATAATAAAAGAAAATAATTATCATAAAATTAATTAAATTGTTGGAAATATGAAAGATGATAATAAAAACGTAATAAATGTTGTTTTTTTGTTTTTGTTTAGAAAATATTGTTTGTTGATATATAAATTGTTTAGCCAATATCAACGACGAGTGATCCAAAAACATCAACTAGGAAGTTAAGAAAATTATAATGAGCGAACCAAAGAGTTTTTAACACTTTACTGAAAAAGGTTTTGTTTTTATTAGTTTAATATTATAGTTAGATGTATCATCGTAAAAAACCTTTGTTCGTATAATTCAGATTCTTTTTTCAAGAATAAGTCACCGTGTTTATTGTTGGATATTTTTATGAAGTTGAAAATTACATTGTACAAAAATAAGATACAATTTTCAGCATTTATTTGTACAGGTTTCATTCTAAGTAGGCATGCACCAAACCCGAATGTTCGTTCGAGCACGAAAACTAACCTTGTATCTTTTGCTTTGCGGATAGTTGTATTATTACTATACTAGAAAATATGTATTCTGTCCGTCTTATGACCAAAATAAAATACTTCAGCTGTGACATCGAGTTTGATCGGGAGTGTACCCATTTAAAGATGCAACAATATCGATCTAATAATAGAGTATTGATATTGTTATATTTATACAGTCATTTTCAGTTGTTTAATAAAAAAGATTAAAAGTAAAAGAAAAGAAAAAAATTCATGAATGACTATGGTAGGTATGTAAACAATGAAATAAATTATCGAAAAAGTGAAGAGCTAGACATATCTGAAAGAGAATTTAGTGATGTTCGGAAAGACTCGAATTATAGAGTAGCTCCATGATCCTCTATACATTCCAAGATATACTTAAACAACTGTAGAAATACTCGACACCATATCAACTCATTGGATAGTTTCCGAATCGTTTGATCCAAATTACAAACTACAGTTCAGGTTTGTTTTATGACTAATTCTAAGAATTTTGATAAAAAAAACCTTACAATAGATTGAATATATTCGAAGCAGTGAAAAACCAAAATCGTTTCTTTTTTGCACAATTTCGACAAATTATTTCTAATAGATTTCATCACTAAAACATCCTAAACTTGACTTCAGTTATAAAAAAAAGAATAGATAAAACTCATACATGCCATGACTTCTCATCAATTACCTGTAATAGTACAAAGCTATCTTAGATCTCTAATCTTCCCAAAAATTTGAATTCCTTGACATAGTGTGAGATAGCAGAGATGTTCATGGCAATAGTGGTGACATGCTGGGGCATCCTTATTTTTATAAAAATTCTAAAATCACATGAATTTTCTATGAATTTAAATGTCTACAAGATCAACAAACAGATTCTTAGTGAATTTCTAGCTGTGATTGGTATCTATGTGCGATACGATTTTTCATGAAGAAGTCGAATATAATTATAGCTTTTCTTTTTAATCTTGCTTAATCTATAAACAAAAAAAAAGCTGAAAATTGTATCTTATTTTGATACAATTTGACACCTTATCGAAATATCTAACGATAAATATAGTAAGTTGATTTCTGAAAAATGCCATAGATTATGTGAAAGAAAGTTTTTGACAATGATATGTTTAAATAGAGTATAAAAATAAGAAAAGAAAGTTTGTAATAGAAATCTCACGGATCTATTATAATTAGAAAATAATTTTCTTTTTCTCGACAAAGAATTCATCTCGAATCGTCAACTATTCAATTCCTACTATTTATCATATCTGAATTTAAATATTCTTCAATATATATTCATCTTTTACACAGTGTATTCGATTCAATCGAAACTGATATTGACGCATGAATATTGGATGTTTTCAATTTTGAATAAAATTAATCAATTATTTTTTTGGTTTCTACTGATACAATCAAATCAATTATTGATGCAATTAATAACTCAGACAAATCAAATCTTTTGTATTAATGTTCTACATATTATATCTAAAAAGAGTAATGTTTTATGTAATCCATGTGATCGTCTTTTGCCATTACTTGCCAATGCAATATCTGCATCAGTAAATCGTCGTTGAAATTTGTTTCTTTTTTTAATTTGAAGTTTGTTCTGTTTTTCTTTAGCATGAAATTGAAATATTAGAAAATATGGAAGGTTTATCACAATTGAATGCACTTTAAATATTAAAACATGTTATGAGTTTAACCGATTTATTTATTCTTGCGAATAGTTTGAGTTTTGCCGAACTTGAACAAGAGATAAATATGCCAAATGGAGAAATTTTAAGCCAATGTCTTCAATTAAGTAATGAAAAAAAAAGGAAACCATATTTAGTCGTCAATTGACTCATCTGACTTTTTAAATCGAGACTCTTATTGTCTTTTGTCTGAGATAAACATTTTCTCTGACGATACGCTGACTATTTTTTGATAGATAAATAAAAATTTCCAACACAATCAGTATTCAATAGTTTTGGACCTAAACTGCTGTTATGATCTAGTCTGACAATGTCTCTACTGATATAAAAACTAGAACAACAACAAAAAAAACAGACTTTCTTTTTATTTCATCTAGTAGATCATATGATCATCTAACATTCCTATAAAAATCAAGTTTTTTGTTTTAGTTCTTCTGACTTTTGTAGTCGAAATACGATTCTTAAAAAGCATCATTAGAATGTCAAACACATTCAGTACAAATCTTCGTTCTCTTCAATGGTAAGAGCAAACATTTCCATCTTTTTATTATTTGTAATACTTTATATTAACTACAAGGTATAGTGATTGTAATTAGTTAAGACAACATTAGAGGAATACATGCCATGCATACACAAAATGTCCTCAAAGAGTAGTTCAGTAGTTGATCTATGTATATTTCACAGTTATTGAATAACTAATATATTCATCCAAAAATATAATATTAGTTATCTTCAGAAGTATGCCAAAAAAAAAGCTTATTCAGCATGTTATATTTGTTATTTCGACAGATTTTGTTATGTACTTAATGATAATATTGGAGGTTAAGAATTTGTTATAGTCAAAATGATTTTTTGAGGGAAATATATTTTTTGACATATCTATAAGGATTGAAGTCATTGGGTTCAAATTTTTTCGACTCGAAATTGAATCGTACTCTTGACATTGATTGAAGTTTTTAAGGTACTTTGAAATATATTCGTGCCATTTCTCAAGTAATATTGATGATAATCTCACAAGTAACGCTCGTCGCTTCGACTCGCTTAGCCCTCGACTGAAGAGTCAAATTTATTTACATATCATTTTATTTCATTTCTCTGAGGTAACTTATGGTAGGCATCAGATGTAACTGAGTATACGTATTATAATATTATGATCCTGATCTGTAATAGAATAGTTAACTTAGAATTTTAATTATTCTCAGAATTAAAATTGCCAGTTTTCTCGACTGCTTATAGAGCTAAGTGTTTCCAGAAATAGTGCCGTGAAATTCTCTCTGATGTAGTATAATACTTAGAGAAATGCATTTACTTGTTCCGTGGCTGATAATATAAGCAAAGATTAATCTTTTAATGAAAATTTATCAAGAAAATAAATAATAGGTACACTCATCTGCATCATATTATTACGTCTTTTCGCGACATTAATAGTAGTCTACTATTTCATGCACTGGCAACAATATCAGACATATTGCTTTCAATTACTAGTTATCACTCATATATATGATCAACTTATCAACCATACAGATCAATCAGAATATTTGTATATCTTACATAAAATGAGTGAGTGTGATAGCAATCATCGCTGAACCTTAAATGAATGCCTTTTTTGTCAAATTTATGCACTATTAAACAATCGAGATTAATGACATTTAAAGTTCTATAAGCAACTACACGATATAAATCTATTTTGTTTACATTTACAACTATAGCAAACAGAAAAAGAGATATCTATATCTAATAAATATCATATCGAACTACAACCATAACAAAAAAAAACAACGCTAAACTATGCACAACATTAATATAGAAGAAAAACAATATTTAAATGCATATGACACAGAAAAAGCACCTAAGAAGAGTATTTACAGCAATAACAGATACAAAAAAAAAACAGTTTCCTTGCAATACAAAAAAAATCATTGAAACCAATGAGAAAAACATTTTTGAGTTTCTAAATACAGTTGATCCAGTCTTTCCATTTCGGTGACTTGAGATTTGCTTGGTTTAATTAGTAACACCTTGTAATCAAATTGCCGTAAGATGATTAGATCGGCCAAACGTTTTACACGAGATAATGGTACATAAACTGCGGCAATATCTTCAGTTTCATTTGGTAATTTAAGATCGATCACAACTTTATTCAATGTTTGACCTTGACTTTTATGTGTCGTAATGCAATAAGCAGGCACCAATGGTAATGCTCGACGTTTAATCGATAAAATTGCTTTTCGATTTGATTTTGGTTTCTTGTCTTTTGGAATAATATCAAAAATGTCTACCCGAAATGTTTGTTCCATTACTGGTATTGGGATAAGTTTTGGTTGAAGTACTTCAAGATTGGAATCAACTTTTGATTTAGCAATTTCTATTAATGCATATAATGGCCGATGAATGTATTGTGTATTTTTTGGAAATATTTCCGATAAAACATCTGCTGATACAGAATCTGACTGATAGACTAATTGACGAAAGATTCCATTTATACCATTAATAAGACCAAGTTCAATAGCAATGTTTTGTGTTAAAATAACAGGCATTCCAGGAACAAAAGGTAATAAACCAGGTAAATGCTCTGTCTTGCTATCAGATAATTCCAACAATTTTCTTATAAGTATAGGATCTTCAATTGATTTGCCATTACAAGTGTCTTGAGCGACGCATACGATCGAGACGCGACCTAATTGAGCTGCATTGTGAATTGCTGCCTTGTTGTTCAATTGTGTTCGTACTTCATTTCGGAACACAAGGATCGGAGCCTAATCGAGACAAATATACACGTTTGTGTCAAAAGGAAAAGAAAACTTACTTTATTCCATGGCGTATCACAGAGAGAGTCTACTGATGGTTGCCCAACCACTCGTGTCAGCAATAATTCATAGTCGTCATAATTACATTGTCCATGACGAAGACGTTCGAGTAGCTGAAGGTACCGTGAATCTTCTGTTCGCATCTGTTGCGTAAGTTTTACCACACAGTTAATTTGAAGTATTAAAGATCGTGCAACACGCTGTTGAATTTCTTTTTCTGTAGGTAACTTGCACGATTTACTTTTAGATGACAATGTGAAATGGGTGTGTAATGGTGCATCAAATACAGGTCGATATTGTAAATAATCACCAAAGAAGATAACGTTTACACCACCGAATGGAACTTGAGGATCGACATGTTTTGCAGTAGAAATAATTCGGTTGAGTTTTGCTAGTAGAGTTAAACCAACCATACTCATCTCATCAATTAAAAGATATTCGACTGGTCTCCATTCTTTTTCAAGCTTTGAGTCGCCTGGTTTAATAGTTCGTGGCTTTCTTGAATTGCGTTGTTCGCCCAAAAATGAATGAATTGTCATTCCATCTATTTCAGCAGCAGCAATTCCAGTCGGTGCAAGCTTTCTCATCATTTGCATTCTTTTTGTAACGAGAAAGTATTTGGTAAGAGCACGAATAAGTTGCGATTTGCCTGTTCCACCACAACCAGGTATACACATTATGAGTTGACCATTATTGTCACCTAAAAAAATTATATATTTCGATTTGTGATGATCTGTATTGTAAAAAATACCTATGTGACATCGCGTGTCACCATCAAGATGACTTGTTATGATCATAAATGCAGCTCGTTGTTCTCTGTTTAATGTAAATTCATTAATAATACTTGTCTGAGTAGGAAAGTTATTTATGACTTTGAGCACTGGAAGAACTGAACCATAGTTTTCAAAATTGTTTGCACTATAATTATTTGGATTCATCACTGTTACAACGGCATCTCTTGCAGCAAATAAATCCAATGTATCATCATCTTTGTCATAGTTGCCTGTAATTAAGCTTCGTCTGACTCGTTCTTTCTCGATCTTCAGCTGTTCTTGCCATTTTGTATTGAGTTGAACAAGATGAGGTGTTGCACAAAGGAACGGTATAAGTTGTCGATTAGTACGATCAATTGATATATCTGAAGAAGATTGGTAATGCACTACAATAAATTTTTTATCATTGTTTTCAAACTTGTTACTAACGTAAAAATAATACTTACTGTTCGTATGATTAAATCATTCAACTTTCTCGACTGCTTCGATAGTTTCTTCAATATATTTATTTTCTGTTGTTTTTCTTGTAGTATTGACTGCAGCAGTTGTATATTCATCTAAAATGCCTAATAGTTCAAGCAAGTCATCACTGTCGTTCATGTCGTATTCACCATGAACATCATGATTCGCTGGCAAAAGTACAGGCTCGATTGCATCATTGTCGACTTGAGCTTCAGCAATAACTTGAAGTAAATGTGCATCACGGTCCTTTTTGCATTCGTGCAAAAGTTGGATATTTTCTATGATCTTCCACGAATGTACAGAAATAAGATGTTGCCGAGAGTTGAAGGCATCTTCCCATGTTTGATTGGCACCATAGACATCAGTAACTGTGCGCCAGGGCACGAAGAGCGTGAGAAGAGCCCGACTGTATCGTTCTCGAGTGTCATCACGATCTCGTCGAGGAATTTGTGGACCGTAAAGAATAGGTACATGAGGTTCACTGTACTTCATCATCAGATGTGTTGATGCCTGTGGATGTTGTTTTTGAAAAGGAAAGCGTTCATTAGGTGGTCGACCTTTTCCGCTAATGTCTTCTTCCACTGGTGCGACAGTCTTGGATAAATATTTCAGATCTGTTGCATTCATTTTTTTCTTATATAATGCACTGACAAAATTATATAAACACATATCATTGAGAATGTCGGAACGATATTGGTAATCAATTCTTGTATTAACGAGTACGTATTTTTTGTCGTTTTCAGCCAATTGAATCTGAAAATGTTCTTCGTCGTTGTTTTCGTTGTCAATAGCCTCGTCATCATTATAGACATCATCGTCGATTATATCTACATATGCAAACAATACATTAGTTTCGATTTAATATACTTTTTGACAAATAAAACAATCTATAATTCAATTCGAAGGTAAATTTCTGATGAAATAGTTTACTTATTTTGTATCCTTAATGACTACGTACGATTATTCGTCTACTCTTCCGACTTTTCTCACAAACGCCTTTATATTACAGCTTAATCAAGTATAAACATTTTTAAAACATGAAATCAGATATCAATGTACTCACCGTGCGCTGCAAGTTCCATTTTTTGTTTGGCACATATTTCATTTAACTGAGCTTGTAAAAACCGTTCAGTTTGAATTAAAAAGAGACCTTGGAATTTGTGTGTTGTGTAATGATCATTCCAATTCATGAGATAAGAAGCCACCTGAACTCCAGATAGCTCTTGTTGAGAAGCAAGTGTATTGTAGCAGCGTAAAACGAGTTTACGTGACTTCTCGATTGCACTTTCTTTGCTTGTCTGTTGCAATAAACTTTGGAACGATGTTATGCTTTTTTGTACAAGAGCAAATGTATCATGAAAAGAGAGACTCATCTTTGTGACATAATCGGTAATATAATAAACAAGAGCCTTTGCATCACTACCACTCCAAATAAACTTAATATCCATGTTGGACCGACAAGCCGCAATAATGTATTCATTAAAATTGTTAATCCATGGATCCGATCGTCGCATAGAAATATGGCCAGTATCAGGATCAATTGTCGAGACTGGTACTAATTTGCGTGGCATATTCAATCGACAATCCTTCTTGTCACCTTGTTTAGGATTAGAATACTTGTAACATGTGAAACTATGCTTGTGCTTGTTGTCTGTTTCCACAAGTTGTACCACATCTGCACGAAAGCGTGCTGCAAAATTAGGCGATGATGGATTTGGAGTAGGTAAGCAAGCTGGATTTATGTTTGATTGATTGTGTAAAACATTCATAACTAAAATATGATCTATACTTTATCTTTTTTATTACTTCTATTTCTTACTAGATGTTGGTCGATCATGTGTTGGTGTCTGTAACGATTTATTCAATAATGGAGAAGCATAAGGAATTGATGGAGAAAGTTGTTGCTTGATTGGTGTCGACCAAGCAGGAGATTTATTTATATTTTCGGCTAGACCTGTTAAATCAATAGTACGTAAAGCCGCATAGATATTATCTTGTGATAATCTTGGTGGAGTATTGAATGTTCTTGTAACTACAATATAAAATCAGAAAGCAATATTCGAATAAGAGCAAAACTTAATATTCACTCGCACTCCTTTTTATCTGACGAACATTTAAAAGTTTCAGTTCTAAAAATAAAAACAATGGACCGATAATGCTCCTAAATAACCGAGATATCAAAATATATTACAAGAATATATACGAACAGGAAAACTCATTTTTTCCATTCAAGTTCGTTTTCGATAGAACGATTTGAATTGTTTTAATGATGTTTTCCATCTATAAAGTGTCCCTATATTCTGTTCTTACAGAAAAACTGGTCTTACTTATAATACATACGAAAACATTTATCTTCTTTTATCATTTTAAGTCCCTACTGAAACCTATCAGATCTAAACCGTTAACATTTTCTCGTTGAATTCTTACAATGTAACATCCTTCATAAGGTAACTTTCCAGTGCACCAGCTAGTTACTTGTCGACATCCATTTGGGGCGTTACTCGTAGCTAGCTACTGTCTCCTGTGATATTGTTCACCATTAGATAATTCTGTTCACTTAAACCCTGTCAAATGCTAGGCTGCTCTTACTTAAAAAAAGCTTTTGGATTTATAACGCGATGGCTCCAAATAAGTTGCTCCGAACCAATACTTTCCTAGTATTTATTCCTCATTTCTTCAACATAATTGTTTAGCCAATACGTTAGAATTGTATTAGGGCTGCTGCTTTGGAGAATCTTAATTGGTCATTCTTGATAAATGTAGGTTTCACCTAGATCTTTTGTTAAACGACAGTAGAATACGTTTGCGATTTTAGCGACCAGTGACTCACCAGCACTTCTCTTAAGGCTTGCTGATAGTCCCTTGCTGCATTATTAAAATACATTAAAACAATCATTGGTTATTTTGCATGTATTCCACAAGCTGGAACTTCACTTACAAGATTATTTTTATGCTACTTTTCTCGACTTAAGAAGAGTGCACTCAAAAAAGCCATTTAACACAGAAACCACTATGAATAAAGAGGAATCCCTCAATGTCGCTCAAATTAGACTAACTGCCGGAGGTGTGTAAACAGTATCTCATCGCATGACGACTTACTAAAACACTCATCCCATTAGGTCACGCTCCGATTCGTGTCTATACCAATAATCTGAAGAGACTATCGCAACTAGACAGCAAAAGCAGACTCCAGATATACAGAGCGATTTTCCATATTCCGAATTTCCCTTTTTCCAAATGCCTTTTTCTCAAAAAAATTTGCTTTTACCTTAGATAACAGCTCAGAGAGTAAAGGTATGATCTTTTCATGGAAATAAATATTTGATTTTCTGAATAGCTGACTTCAGGTTCGAATTTCCCAACCCCAATTTACTTTCGCCAACCTTTATAAAATTTCATTATTTGCTTAAAAAACCCTTTCCTTGACCCTAGAAATTCATTTCAAAATTTTAAAAATCTGACTTCAGATTCAGATTTTCCGACCTCGATTTACTTTCGTCAACCTTTATAAAATATCGTTATTTTCTCAAAAAACCCTCTCCTAGGCCCTAAAAACCCAATTCAAAATTTTGAAAATCTGACTTCAGATTCGGATTCCTCGACCTCGGTTTACTTTCGTTAACCTTTATAAAATATCGTTATTTTCTCAAAAAACCCTTCCCTGGACCCTAAAAACTCAATTCAAAATTTTGAAAATCTGACTTCAGATTCGGATTCCCCGACCTCGATTTACTTTCGTCAACCTTTATAAAATATCATTATTTTCTCAAAAAACTCTTTCCTTGACCCAGGAAACTCATTTCAAAATTTTGAGAATCTGACTTCAGTATCTCAATGAAGAGTAATGCGGGGACCCCTACATATATCCATCGATCGATAGAGCATCCTCGATAACCCTATGATTGGCCCGAATATGGCTATGTGTTGTCCTTACAATAAGAGGAAAAAGACCTCCTGAAATCTGATTGGTCTATTTTTGGACGAATCAAATGACAGAATCCTATTTCTCGATGATGGGACGGGTGGGGACCCTCACATATACCCATCAATCGATAGAGCATCATTGATAACCCTATGATTGGCCCGAACATGACTAGCACTTGTCCTGATAATAAGAAAAAAAACGCTCACTGAAATCTGATTGGTCCATTTTTGGACCAATCAAATAGCAGGATTCTATTTCTCGGTGTTGGGACGGGTGCAGACCCTCACATATACCCATCAATCGATAGGGCATCCTCGATAACCCTATGATTGGCCCGAACATGACTAGCACTTATCCTGATAATAAGAAAGAAAAGGCCTCCTGAAATCCGATTGGTCCATTTTTGGGCCAATCAGACAGTGGACAAGCTTACAAATTTTCATTGTGGAGACCCACCGTTTCACGATTGGAGAAAATGGCTACCTTTCAATTTTTAAGGCTATGTTTTTTTGACCTTTGACCTTTGACCCCGACAAGCAAACAAACGGACAAACTATTTTTTTTCATATGACCCTCCCTTCAGTCGAGGGAATAAGAATCAAATTATAATTTGTTCTCCTTTCAGAACAGTACTCGTTAAGTCGGATTTAGGTTCGAGACCAGAATTGAATTTTTCGACAACAATAAAAGTTGTTCGACCATTTCAAAATATATATAGATTGACTGTTTAACATGATTCTGCTATTAGATTTTATATTTTGAATACTATTGAACAACAAACATTCGATGTACTGCTGATTTTTATTCAAAAATCGCTACTTCAAGGACATTTTCTGCGTCCATGGCATGTCTTAGGTTAACTGTAATAAGTAGATTTTGTACTTAATATAAACAATTACAAATGGTAAAAAGATAGGAATATTTGCTCTTGACATTGAAGAGAACGAGGATCCACATTGGACATAACTATTAATCTAATGATATTTTCTCCAGAGTCGTATTTCCACTAATAAAAGTCAGAAAAACTAAAGGAAAAACTTGATTTTTCCAGCAGTGTTTAATAACCATATACCATACTAGATGAAGTAAAACAAAAAAGAAAATATTTTGTTACTTTTTATTTTCATATAAATAAATAGAAGTATTCTATTAGACTGAATTATGACAGTTGTTTACATTCTAAAAATATCGAATATGGATTTTATTCAAACTTTTGATTAATCAATTGATAAATAGTAGGTATTGTCATAAAAAATGTTTATCTTAGATATATGACAATACGAATCTCGATTTAAAAAGTTTGATAGGCCGACAATTTCTGACCCAATATGTTTTCTTCTTTATATTGAATATATTTTTAGCAATAACTACTGCTGTTTGTCATTATATGGATTATTATTATTTTCAACGATTGAATCGATCAACAAAATCTTCTCAAGCGTCATCACAACAATCAAAAACTTCAACGAAAGATCGAATTGAATAAATATTTGAATTAATTTATTTAATAAATTCTCGAGAGAAAACTAATTGTGATGAACCTATTTAAAATATATTTCTTTGATTTATTAAAAATTCTGAATCAATTTTACAAGTTATTGATATTCAACGTTTACGTACTATTATCTGCAAATACAATACCTACTTCATATAGTATCTATATGTACTCAATTTAATGACAAGTCGAGTAGTTTAACTTGGAAAATTGTAGATATCTTATTTGTCTGAATTGAAGGTTTCCTATTCATTCTAATAAGATAAAAGTCTATCGAAAAATTTTGTATCGTCGGAAAAGAAAAATGAAGATAATCTTGACTAGCACATGTATGTGTGATTCACAGTAGAGACAGTCATCGAATAGACTCAAAAAGAAATTTTGTGTTTTTCGATATCTGATTCTTTTATGAAAAAATTGATTCAGATGTCACTACTATACGTTAATTTATAAGACAAAAAAAAATTTAATTTACTCCCAAAATTAGGTATTTCATATCAGATATCAACCTTTTCTAGTTCGTTAAGGAAAATCGAATATAATTAATGATCGTGAAATCTTAACTGTTTGTTTCTGTATTCCTTTGTCTTCATATACCAGTGATATAGACAATGAAAGAAACTCTCAGATAAGTAGTCAGAGTTATAGTAGAAAAACAGCGCACTTGCTATGTTTTTCTCTCATGTTTTACGTTTTACCTACTGATAGTTATCTTCATCAAATGGAAGAAACATCTAGACTGTACTATCTGAGTAATTAATATGGAAAAATTCTCGATACATTACATCCTTTTCATCACTGAAAGAAACAACAAAACTAGGTGATGTATAGGTTTTATCCGAATATTAATTTGTTAAATAGAGATTCGATTTATTCTAACCTAAAAATTCAAATTTCTTCTCAGTCTACTTCCGCTTATGTTCAAAAGAAGTGAGATAATCAGATGGTTACAAATATCTCATCCGTTCGTCGAGAGTTAGTAGTGCCCTCCAGGTTTTTTTCATATCGACTGCTGTTTAAGACTCCTCCCTTTCAAGAACAGAAGTCTAGAGAGCATCTAATTTACTTTGAAAATTACAAATTTGAAACTAAACTCGCATTACAACCAACTTTTCCAGCAGTCTACGATAGATGGTTAGTATAAGTAGCATTGAGAAATCTTTTGATCACTTAGAGACGTGAAATGCTCATTAATATCGCTGAAAAACCAAGTTTGTTAGTTGTCTAAATGATTGAATGTTTACATAGGTTCTGTCTTAGAAAGAATTCTCTGTTCAATTATAAGTTTTAAAGTATTCAATGTTTGTTTTCAAGTAATACCGTAGGGATAAATTCGATTTATTTTATGTCTGATTACTTCATATAGCAATAGAAAGCATTGACAGATGGAACTAGGATTTCAGTATCACTATAGAAACAATTTTTCTCGAGAGGCAAATATTTGTTTCATTAGTACTATACCTCGATTGCTATATAATTATTGTTCTGTCAAAAATTGATCGCTAATGAATCTCGATGAAGTTCAACAATAAATCAAAGTCATCTATTGACATATGGTTAACATTTCGTAATGTAAAAATTGAGTCAGTTTTCTCAATTTATTTGTTTGTGAGATAACAATTGAGAGAAAAATCAATTCAAAGTATTGATTGATGATCCCCTTATATATAGATTTTAATTTATAGAGTGAAGCAAATGTTTTAAAGAATTTCTTTTGAAATTAGAAGAATCTACTATATACTGTCAAATTCTGATTCAAAAATACCTTATACAAAAAATAAAAACTTTTAAATAATGTGTAGCGATTCATAGATGTACATCAAGACTTAAAATGGGTCACTTATCGTGATCCGGATATTTTTTAAGCCAGCTTAGTCCAAATAGACTTTAGTTCAGTCTGACCTAGCGCCCGAAAGATAAATTCTCTAAAAGGATCTTTTTCTATTAAAACTCAGAGATTTTTTCATAAATGATCAATACTTCTAGAGGAACAAATAACCGATGTTATAATGATGATGTAAATCATTTTTTGAGTTGCTTCTTGACAAATTATATAAGATTTTTAATAGCAGTCACGACCGGTTTCGACCTTGCTAAAGGGTCTCATCAGGTGACTGGTATCTTAACTGCTATTTTAAATGACTGCTATTTTAAATGAATTAGAATAAAGTCACCTGATGAGACCCTTTAGCAAGGTCGAAACCGGTCGTGACTGCTATTAAAAAAGAAGTTTCCGATCAAAATCCGAAAATACGAGTTTTCTGAAAATATAGGGTCTCTCTAGAAAACAGACATATTAAAAATTCCATAGCTTTGTCAATGCTCAATAGGAACCTAAATTCTTTTAGAGTTTTTATTAGAACAATATGTAGTATCTATAGACAAACAAAAAAATCATTGGAATTGGAAGGAAGCAGCTGAAGAGATTCCCTGGTTAGTCTTTTGCCAAACATTCTGCAACGATTCTGCATTAATCTAGAATTTGAAAACAAAAAAATTACAAAAAATAAATCTAGCAAATGTATTCATCTCGATTTATAAACATAAAAATTCTATTAAAATATCTAGGTTCTATTCATCTAAATCGTCAAGTTATAGCATTACTTGAATCCCGTCATATTCCACATTCAACATTTCTTCTTTTACAAAATCAACATTTATTATCACTTGTTGAATCATTACTTTATTTACCATCAACATATGAATTACTTCATGAACGTCTTCCACCACATCTTCAATTACGTGATCTTATACTTACTGCACAAATTGATCTTATTCATGAACCATTTTTTCGTCAATTAATTACAACTATGTGTAAATATGAAGTCAAACGTATTCAAGTAATATAATACAAAAAAACTTTACAATTTTTTTTGTGTTCATTAAGCAAAAAAAAACCATATCAATATTTTCTTTAGGATAAAACACGTATACAAATTTCAAAAAATTCAGGTCGAAATATGTTTGATATTGTTGATGAAACTGCTACACTTCAATATAACTTTTATTAAATGTACAAAAAAAAAACAGACAAAGAAGTTTTTATTTTTCATTAAAAAATATTTTATTTCAGGAAAATTCATAGTCACAACAAATATATATATAAAAAGTATCCCAACCAGCACAAACTAATTGTATACGAGACAATTTGCTGGAATTTTCACATTTGGATAAAGATCTAGTTAATGCAGCGATTAAAGAAGAAATTAAAAAACAACAAAATAGCAAGTATGAAGGTTTCATATGAATGATATCATTGAAATATTTGTTTTTTAGACCTTATTCAGCATGAATTAGTCAACCATATATTGTCGAAATGGATACATCGATACATGTACTTAATGAACGAATTTATATCTCACAATAAGCACGATGTTTAGAAGTATTAAAACAATATATTGATTATATTTTTTGTGATAAATTTGCAGAAGCAAAAAAAGTTTGTTTATATTCTTTGTTTTATAAATCAATATGTTTGTTTCGATAGACAAATGATGTGGTATTTGATTCAATAAAAAGTCATGAAGATGCTCGAATTGCTTTATGTAATGAATTAGCATCATATAAGAAACAAAATAAACCTAGATTGAATAATCAACAATTTGAAATGATTGCTAATTTACTTAATTATACTCTTGAAGTATGACTTTCTCATCTTATACACTTCTAGTTTGTTTATACAATTGGGTTTATTTAGGCAAGTTCATCAATTAATGAACATAACATTGCTTATATGATGCTTACTTTAGCAACAATATTTCATCGAGTATGTATTATAATGACTGATGGTGACTATACAGATACCGTACAAATGATATAGGAATGTAAACAGAAACTTTTCGTGAAGAAAGAAGAATCGTCACCTTTTCAGCCTGTGACAATTAATCAGCTTGTATCGTCTCTAGATATTTACAGTTTCCATGAGGAAGGAAAAAGAATGAGCTCTTCAATCATCCTACTGTTTGTGTTCCTAAGTATAATGATAACATTTGTGTACATCAATGGTTTTAAGTAATATGGGAATCAAATTAAATAGATTTACTACAAGAAAGAAAGGTGTTCGAACCGAAACTAAAAATCATAACTAGATTTTGTATGATTTTTAGCATAAGACATTCGAAATCATATGAATCAGAGCAATATTTAGTTTAGAGAAATTTTTTTCAGATTTTCTGTGTATGGAGTCATAGAAAGTTTATATCATAATTCACATCATCGGCTAGACGGTCGCACATCGAGGGTTTGTAAGAAAAGATGATCTTTGCGTACATTTTTTTTTCTTTCTGTTTTCAAGATCACGATATTTGTAATATTGTGTTTAGCTATAGTTAGGTACGTAAGATAAAAAGAAAACATCCGATCACAGCGTGATCGGACAGAAAGAAAAAGAAAATTTGTATATATATATATATATTATCACAGTAACATTCCGTTTTTAGTATTCATCCACACTCTGCATACAAATAAAGTTTGTTTATACGTGCAAGACGTATCTTCTTCAATATGACCACTAATTTGATGAAAATCGAAGCAGATGTAATACAATATTAAAAATCCGAAAGAATACCTATTTTTTTTCATTTAGATCAAATTTGTTATGGAAACAAATACCAACATTACAAGAACAATTCAATTGAAAAAAGATATGATAACTCTTCTCAAAGAAGAAATTGATGTATTATATGTCGATCAAGAAAAACATAATGATCGATTAAAAGAGCTTTATTCATTGAAACGTAAGAACATTTAAAATAAACATTCCATATCTTATGAATTTTCTTTTTAGAAAAAGAAGAAACAGCAAAAAAAACATGAATTACCATCATGTCATATGCTTCTTTTTTTTTTAATTTTACATCAAAACAAGAATCATTTATTTTTTATTTTTCATTAAAATAAGAAGCGTTTATTTTGTGATTTTTCATTAAAACAAGAAACATTCATTTTGTTATCATTCATTAAAATAAAAAAAAAAAAAACATTCAACAAACATTCAAAAAAACATTTATGTATATATTAATATAACATTAATATATACAATAATTTAAAGAAACAAAAAAAAAAAAAAGATTTTGCTGCTCAATACATGCTGATTCTTCCTAATTGAATCGATTCATTTTTATCATGATTGCATATGTACGTCTTACTCAAATAAAATATGAACTCATCTCAAAACGAATAATATTGAATAACGAATTGTAGTAAAGAGTAGCAGAATTCGATAACAAACTGAGTTACATTCTAGTTCCTCTGTAAGTGGGCAAAATCAGCCAAAACGGGACAAATTCGTTTTTTTGTAAAAATGGAGGCTAAATTGCCAAAGCCTAACATAGTTACAAATTGTGGTTGCCAGTTTATAAAAAAATGATGTTTGTTTTCGTTTTCGTAGTTGCAAAAACTAGAGAAACCTGTTTTATTAAAGTTGTCGCTACATTACGCAAATTTACCTGCTTTTTTTTCATAGAAAAACAAAAATCGTGTCAAAAACTCTCCTGAGTCAACTTTCTTTATGGTCATGTAATGAAGATAATCACGTGAAAATAAAGGCTTCATCTCAAATTTCTGATGACTTGAAGCTTTTGGTACGAATATGAGAGACACTTTCACAGTCTTCAATGTATTAAAAATGTTTTTAGTCCCAAAAAACAGTTTTTGATGTTCAAAAACTAGTTTTCTAGATTCAGTTTTTCGTTTAGAATTCGAAAAAAATAGTTTGAGATTTATCTAGGTTAAACATACAGGAAAATTTTACCTTGTTTGAATAATTGGATACCTGTTGACTACTTGAAAATTTTGAGTATTTGTTCAATTTTTTCACCATAATTTTGTTTTGAAACGTTTGAAATTACATAGTTTTATTCAACATGAAATTCTGCATCGAACCACATATAAAAGTTGACAAAATGAAATCTGCTCGAATTTTGCATTTCCTCCACCTTACCAAAGTTAAGATAACAGCAACATCTAATTATATTCCAAAGATTTATTTCACAATATTTCTCAGTCGATTTTTCGAGCTTCGACTACATGTGTCAGTGTCTGATTTCGTTCCTAGAAACACGAATTAGTTTTTAGACTCGTCTCCCTAGGAATCTGGAAACAGTGTTTCTAACAGCAAGGATTCACCATGATGATAAGGTATACAGGATCCTTACGATGTTCGATTGACACTCGATTTTATACGTTGCTCATGAGAACAAAATGTCATCAAACAGACACTTGCTGTGAATAATTTGCACTTTATTTTTCATGGTATGTAACTTCCCAACTTCAAAATTTCGTGATTAATAGTAATGTAGTCGATATCCTAACATCTTCTAGTTGATCTTTGAGTTTGTTAGAACACTTCTCGGTCCTTCAATTGTTGTTGCTCTTTCATATCTAACACAGGTTTTAGGCAACTTATATGAACGCTTTTTTTTTCATAACTGTTGATTGAGAAAAGTAGAATTCACAGCAATAAAACTAATTCATGCATTTCTCTTTTATTATTGGATACTAGTTTAGTTTAGACACAGCGCCTTCGCTCGGATGCAGTGCCCTATGCACAAAATATATCTTAAGTGTTTAAACAAAAATAATATAAATCATTTTTGTTTTATGTTTTTTTTTTTATCTTGTTTATGAAATATTAGATAAGAGAATTGTTCATCGGATGCCATTCAATACTAAGAGTTGTTTATTTTCTATTTGACCTTATCTATGACATATCAGAAGTGTACTGATGTCTCCAAAAGATTGAAGTGAAGGGGCGCGAATTCGACGACTCAGGAGACGGATAGGAAAACATTTAGAATCAACCGGATTTCGTGGATTTCAGTGATGTTTTGAGAATTGGTGAGCAAAAAACTGAATAAAACGATGAAATTTTGCTTGATAAAAAAAACGAATTTTGCGAGACTGGGATGTGAACTATCTTCTAGTGGAATACTCCTGATAAATCCATATGAAATATTTCCTTTCTTTATGTAATTCTAACAATCTACACCTTGGAAACTTTTTAATAGTTTGCTAAAAAAAAATAGTGTCATTTTACATTTTGATTGCAAACATAAAATGTCATTTGATTCTTTGGTTTAAGGTTTCTATTAGAAACACTACCCGGAATCCATGGTACACTCTAAAAAAATAGATGTTTGCTAAAAACAACCAAAATAGGTTTTCGATTTAATCTTGGAAACCTTTAAAAGATTTTTCAGGAATAAAAAATGAGTTTCAGAGCGCTCGGAAAGCTTTTAAGAGTTTCCGATAATAACAAAAATCGGAAACCGGACAGGATTTTCGGATACACGGAAACCCTTTGAAGCCTTTCCGAAGCTCGGAATTCTATCCAGTTTCTGAGTTTTGTTACTATCAGAAACGCTTAAAGTCTTTTCGCACTCGGAAAACCATTTTTAATCCTTGAAAAAACTTTTAAAGGGTTTCCAAGATTAAATCGGAAATCCAACTTCATTTTCGAGAGTATCTATTTTTTTTTAGATTGTAACCTGGCATAAAAGTGTGCAAGTGTATCTAAATATCTGAGCGTGTTCGAAAGTACATAAAAAGCATGTAAAATTCATTTGTTGTTTTGTTCTTAAAGAATAAAATTCCGAAAAATAGAAATACTGACATCCCTAGCTTTGACCACTTTTCTGAAGACATGTCACTCAAAAAATTAACAGAGATATTGCAGAATAAACCTTTTCACTATCATTGAGAGTTCCTATTAAAGCGGTTCTAATATAAAAACTGAAAAATCTTGTAGCCCAAGAACGACTTTAGCCATCCTCGTCTTTTATTATACGATAACTTACAAGTTAATAAATGTATCTCTTAATCGAAAACTAAAGACCTTATCATGTTTGTCTTGTCGCTTGGTATGATGGAGGTTGACTGCCGCGCAGGACAGAAAAAGTTGTTCAGTGTTCATATTTGGTTGTTTTATTGTATAGATGTGATAAGATCTCTCGTGACGATGTGCACTGATATATGTATATGACATTACACTTCTCTTCACAATGTATACGTTTCAAAGTACTTCTCTTTCCTTGGAATAGATTATAAGACTATTGTCATTGATTTTTTTTCTGATGCAAACGTTAATTAAACACTAAGAACTTCAATCATTTGTTTTTATTAACATATCGAATACACTATTTTCAAGCCAATAACAAACATAAGATTCGCAACACAAATATCTGCATTTTTTTACTATCACATAAAGATTTATACACTTCTATCATTATAATATGTAACTGAATTATGTTGTAGCAAAAAGATATAAGCTAATTGAATGAACTATGTCTTCGAAAAAATTTCAAATTTTTGTATAAACTGCAAAAATATCAACTGTAAAACAGATGTTATACAAGTGTAATTCAATTGGCTCTCATATAAAAACAATTTCTTTTTTTTCTTAATGTCACTTCTTCAATTTTCGTTCCAATGAACACAATGAAGTCACTCTGTAGACGAACAAAATTGACGGAAAGAAAAAATGACCGCTAATAACTAATGATCGAATTAGACTGTACATCGATTTTTCACTTTTGTGAATGAGTTTACCTATTCTATTTTTCAATGACAGAAGTGATTAGAAGCAAACAATAAACACACATATATAATATAGGTTTGCCTTTGACAAAAACATCATAAATACAATAAAATATGAGTCGATCTAATGTTCATCTTCTGGATCTGCCTAATGAAATATTACTGATCATTTTGAGAAGATTAAATAATATTGATGTTCTTTATTCATTATTGGATATTAATAATGAACGACTTGGCATTCTTGCACAAGAAAAGACCTTCACTAATATTCTCAATTTCGTATATATTGATAATATTTCTGTAATTGATCGATTCTGCATCGATATATTACCAAAAATTCATCATAATGTCAAATATTTTATTCTTGAACCAATTTTCATGGAACGTATTCTTCTTGCCACTGTCTATCCAAATTTAACTGAACTTAAACTCTTCAATTTCGAACAACAAATCGCTTTGAATTTTTTTACAAGTAAATATTAAATATACACTTCATCAGTTAAAAAAAAATAAGTGTTAAATAGAATAGACTATTGTAAGTTTCATTGTTTTTTCTTTAGATGAATCATCACTTCGATCTGTTTTCCAACAAATTACAAATCTTATTCTTATTAATAATGATAAGAGCGAAAGTATAAGTTCATTGAAAGATTATACAAGAAATGTATATGCACATATCTTGAATTTCTTCAAAAATTTAACACATTTGAATATTATTGGATCATATGTTATGTATTATCCAGGTTTATCACTTTGCAATTTACCGTCGATTACTTTTTCTTCTTCGATTCTTACTCATTTATGTATCCATGTGGAAACTTTTGATGATTGTCTTTATTTACTTGATGGTCGACTCCAGCGATTGACTATATTTAATGTTACTGTTTATTCCATAGACAACTCTTCAACAATTGTTCATAACATGGTAAATTTTCACAGATAATGCCACTTATGAGATAGAGATAATTACTACTTCAGCGCATTTCTACTTTATTTTAAAAGATAATGTTATATTAACAACGAAAAGTATCGAATAAGTATTGATGCTTATATTAGAGTGATTGACATTGAATTTGTAGGTAGAAATAATTATAAAATGATTTGTTAGATAAGTGATGAACTGAAAACGAGACGTCGTTCTTTTATCATTGATTAAATATGATGATATATGAATGATTATAACCATTGAATAGAATGAATTCTTTTTTATAGTACCAATCTTTCTGATAATTGATATATGATAGGAATTTTCTCTAAAATTTTTCAATTATTGCCTCAATAGTTCCTGTTTCTTATACTCTAAAGTTTCAAAATCGAACTGATCAATTTATTATTTATGATTTTTAATACACAGAATTCAAAGTGTCAATTGAGAATTTCGTTACTAGGAATGTGGAACCAGTGCCGATATTCTGTTACCATGAACCCGGAAATCCAACGTAATTTATTACAAAATAGAAAGACAGATATGTCCAGATATCAGCATTTCCAACGATGCGGAAAAACAATTTTCCATATACGTTAGCGTTACTTCGGTAACGAAACTTAGACACTTTTAGATAGAATGTATATTTCATAGAAAATGAAGTAGAGTAGGAAATATCATTACCGTGAAAAATAATGATGGTTATAATTTAATCTTTTAGATTAATGAAGAAGTTTTTCTTTTTTTTTTCTAGGACAAGTTACCTAATATGAAATGTTTTTCATTAAAATCTTTCTTTCGATTTCGACAACTTGATCAAATACTATCTCTTCTTCGTCGTATGTCTTATCTGGAAAATTTAACTTTATATCTTCTTATAGAAGGTCGAAATAGAATCGTCGATGGTACTTGTGTTCAAAATGATATTCTTGTTTATATGCCACAACTTCATTCATTCACTTTCTATATTAGTACTTATATTGATACTCGTGATTTATCTCGTAAAGATATCCAACAAACATTGATAAATATCGGACGGCAAAATGCGACTAGTATCGTCAATTATATTAGTGTATACACAGTTGTATGTTCAATTGTGTCACTGCCTTTTACATTTGATTATCTTGTAAGTCTTGGCAATATATTTCCAAATATTGTATTCAGTTATGTTACATATTTACAAGTGCAAGATTTTGATGCATTCAGACATGAATTCTTCGTTCGAATCGCTCGATCGTTTCCATTACTGAAGTATTTACGTATATTCAATATCGAATCACAGCTATTAGCTGATCTTCTTACATTTTCATCTGACCATAGTCAATCATATTCAATGGTTGAATATCCGCATCTTACGTCACTTGATGTGGCCTATAGTCACAAAGATTATCTTGAACAATTTCTAAATGAAACAAAGGCATACGTACCTTGTCTAACTGAATTGACAGTGTGTCATCGTCATTTAAAAATTGTGACAGAGAACTTTACAAGAGAAGCAACAAGACGCAATTGTACTCAGGTGAAACAATTAATTATTATTCAACCATTGGATCATTCGGAAGATCACTCTCATTATTTTCCTTCGTTATAAATGTATTCTTGTTTTGATTGATTCAATAAACTGAAAAACATGATAACAGTTGTGATTAGACTAATGACATTTCTAATATACAAAGAAATACCAATTTTTGATGATTGTTTCTTATTTTGTTTATAAAAAAATCATTGGATTGTCTCTTAATTATATTGTACTAATAGATAATTTCATTATGATGATATTATTATAGAAGGCAGAGATTTTCGTGGTAGTGCTGCCACATTCTTTTTTAAAAATCAGTGCGGCACGGCGGAGGCTGTTTCTTTTTAGAAGAAATTGCAAAACTTCATGAATTTGTATAGAATTCAGGTATCTATAAGTGTAACACTCAGAGACTATGGATCTCATAAATCCATCATATCAGCAGCTTTAGTTCAGCGCAGTAATAGAAGGGATTTTTAAAAGATTTTTGAAAACCATCAAGGCAACGGCACAGTAGTAGATTCTCAGCTGTGATAGTCATCTATGATAGAAGGTGCTCTATATTCAGTTGTAAGAATAAAATCATTATATTTTTGATTCTTATCAAGGGGGAAAAAGCGGATTATTTGGGATTATAAATCCGAAAAAATCCCAAATAATCCGAAAAAATCCCAAATAATCCCAAAAATCTCAAAAAATCCAAAATCTAAAGTAGTCTTCAACAATATACTCTGATCATATTTTCAAGTGCGTCGAACATAGATAACCAGTTTTAAAGACTGCTACACATAGGGGAAAAGGTCCCTAGTCGAAAGTCCCCAAATGAGTCCCTGGAGAGTCTCCAACTCCTCCTTGGCCCCTGGGGAGTCCCTATCGTGATTCCTCGGAGACTTCGAGGAAGACTTTATAATGAGATTCCACTAGGGGTGGATATTATAATAAAAACGTCGGTACGTTCATTTACAGTCGTCGTAAGTCTCATGGGATATTGCTGGGAAGTCCCTGACAAATCTCCAGGGGCTCCCATGTAAATCCCAGAGGTCTTCCTGTCGTGAGTCCCTGGAGATTCGTAAGGAGATTCTCAAGTAGGGGATCAATTCACAAGATTCCACATCCCTATAAGTACAATGGGAATACTTGAAACCCAAGTAGCATGATGAGAATCCTGAGAAAACGATGCATCCTCTAGGAAACTCATAAGTGCTGATGACGAATTCTATAGAAGTGCCTTAAGTTCTCAATGCCTATCTGATGAGAGTATTCATGAGTTATCATCACCTATCATATGGAGAGCAGTTATCCGATTCCGCAATATTGAACATTTTGGAACCAGTTCCGCCTCCGGAATCAGTTCCGTCCAATTCCGAGAACTCGATCGTCATACAAAATAAGAGGACTACTCGACATTGATCGAGTTCCATCAATTCCCGAAATTCCCTCTCGACTCGATTCCCGGAACTCCGGAATCGGTAGAGATTGCTAGGAATTCCAAGGAATCCTGGGCAATTCCGTCTTGACTCAATTCCTAGAATTCCGTACCGGAATGGGATACTAATTCAATGGATTAATCTTTAGCACATCAGTATGCATGAGGGTGAGGAAGCGACCTAATTTCGGTCAGGAATTCCAGAATTGGATTGAGTTCCCGGAATTCTGGAATTGAATTGAGTTCCCGGAATTGGTAGGAATTCCTAGGAATTCTATGCAATTCCGTCCTGACTCAATTCCTGGAATTCAGTCCGGAATTTGGTACTAATTGAATGGATTAATCGTTAAGCACATTAGTATGCATGAGGGTGAGGAAGCGACCTAATTCTGGTCAGGAATTCCGGAATCGGATTCAATTCTGGGAATTCTGAAATCGGTAGGAATTCCGTGCAATTCTGTCTTGACTCAATTTCTGGAATTCCGTACCGGAATTGGGTACTGATTGAATGGATTAATCGTTAAGCACATCAGTATGCATGAGGGTGAGGGAGCGACCTAATTCCTGTCAGAAATTCCAGAATTGGATTTAATTCCGAGAATTTCGAAATCGGTAGGAATTTCCAGGAATTCTGTGCAATTCCGTCTTGACTCAATTTCTGGAATTCCGTACCAATTGCATGGATTAATCTTTAAGCACATCAGTATGTATGAGAGTGAGGGAGCGACCTAATTCCAGTCAGGAATTCCGAAATTAGATTGAATGCCCGGAATTCCGGAATTGATGGAACTCGATCAATGGTGAGTGGGCCTCTTAGGTTCAATGATAATTGAGTTCTGGGAATTGGATGGAACTGATTCCGATGACGGAACTGGTTCCGCAATGTGCAACATCGCGGAATAGGAAGTATTCTCCCATCAGTGCTCTAGAGAAATCCTATGAATGTACTCATAAGTCATGATCGCCTATCCTATAGAATATCCACAAGTCCTTAAGGTTTATCCTACGACGGATACTCGCCGACGTATATATACGTCAGGAGTCTCATCTTTGCGTGAACTGACGTTATCATTCCTAATCTATGTTTCTTAGGTGGATTTGCGTAAAAACCAATATTCGGGATCATATGCTTCCGAAATCATTATTTTGTCAGGGCACACTTATAAAATTATTCCATAAAAAACGAATATATTTTCTGCAAAACTGTATCTTTCTTCTTTTATGTCGAAAGCCAAAGGGTTAAAACTTTTATAGTCAATGTTTTTAAGAAAAAAAAAATAGTGCTAAATGTAATTTGCAATTTTAAAATACATTAAATATAACATTAGAATTTAGCTATTTTTTAAATATTCTCTATCATCTATCAAACCTTTCATAGATTTTTTTTCTTTCTTTTGTTCATAAAAACGCTGTTTAAATCATAGATGATGATATACGGATTTAAAAAAGTAAGATGAAGTAATATACTAATAAGTTTTTTAAATAGGCTATTTTCATGTTCTGTCAATAATTGAGCTAGACGATCGATTTTATTGAACTGATCGTGACGTAATTCCCTATCTAGAAGAAAAAGAAATAAGTATAGACAATAATGGGAATTTTAACTTTTCAAAAAATGCCAATACTCTTCGATTTCTTTCTCTTCTAATTTAAAAACTCATAAGATTATGATAGAAAGAATGAAATCCTAATTAATGAAGACTCAAATTTAAAGATGATGATGATAATATATATCACTAACAATAAATTATATTCATTGAGAATTTAATAAGAGTTAATTTTATTTCGACATACGTTATATAGAAGAGTAAATAGAATCTTTTTTCTTTTTTCTTTTGTCATTTCTATTTTTTGTGCAACTACATTATCTTTTTAATGAAACTTTGGATTTTTTTCTTAAACAAAGGAAAGATTTTATCTATTATTTCAATTGTCAATATGATTTAAAACAAAAAACATCTAACAACGAGACAATTTTATCGATTTAGATAATTAATCCATTTTTCGATCTCATTCATTTTATGTTTATCAACCTCAATAATCAATAATTATTTAAAAAGTTGAATCTTAAATATTTTATATTCGTTTATTTAAAGAATTATTCTTATATCTCATCTCTATATCAGATATATCAATCTTACTTTGAATAACTCATTATCTATCAAGAGAAAATTATTCGACATTAACAAAAAAAAAAAAAAAATGAATTTACTTTTTTTGTTTTTGAATGCATATATAGGTCGATTAAAACTGATAGAAATATTTTATTAATAAACGAGTATGAGTATTAATTTATCTTTACTTTGAGTTTGTAGACACAAACAAGATAAACGAATATTAGTTTTTGTGTTGAATTGAGTATGCCTAGACACTAGAACAATAAATTGACTAATCACAATTGACCTTTATCTCAATCTATTGTCAATATATGAAGAGTACACTGGACATTTCGAGCAGTTGAACAAATGTTTAGGATATTTATCTATCGAGAGATGTTAGAGGAACTATTCATCTCTAAAACGATTCAATCGATTGACTATTTTAGTTTTACATAATCATCGGATTCAAGTGACATCACCGACGGTATTCTTCCCTAACATGACGACCTAACACAACTATAAATAGACCCTGAAAAAAGAATTAGAAAAAACAAGGCCAATCTTTGTGGGTTTTTTTTTTCGTCGAAAACTTGGAACGTTAGTTAATCAAAAAAATGAATTTATTCGATAAATTTTCAATGATTAGTTGAAATAACACTCGACTAATACAAACAATTAAAAAAAATGTCAATCTTAGAGTTATTGTTTTGGATTTCAATTTTCTCAATAAGTTATTTTCTTATCGTGGAATATAAATATGCATTTTTAACATTCGACTAGTAACTTATTGATTGAAACCTTTTCTAGATTTAAATTATTGAAAACAAATCAATGATGATAATCGTCGAAATAGATAGGAATTAAATATCTTCATTAATATCGAAATAAATATTCGAATATCAATAACTATATATGACGAAAAACTATTTTTTATCTATATTATATATTGATTTTAAATTAAATAAAATGTCAACCTCATTTAGATTTGTTTACTTTTTCTAAAAAGAGCCAACCGATATTTTTATTTTAGGCTTTTTCGAATTTCTTTTCGTGTCCGGTGTACATTTAATGACAGAAAACGTTTAAAATCAAGATTTAATTTGTTTTCTTTTTTTTTTCAATCTTCACGTATTTTTTTAAAATAAAACGTTCTATTTCGCTTTTAAATATATTCTTCTTTTTGAAGAAATTAATTTATTCTAGATAAATTTTTTTCAAATGAAACCTCTAATAGAATACCATCTGGATTATTTATTCTTTTTGTTAAATAGGAACCGATTACTAACTTCATTTCATTTATTCTCAAATACAATCTTAATCAGCTACTTTTATTAGACTTTTCGAAAATGATCCCTTTTTCAAAGACTTATCAGATCAGACTTTTATTTCCCTACCAGATTTTACGAGAAATTTTACTGATTTTTTTTAAAGTTTTTCACTTTTCGAAAAACTCCGTTACTACTTCACTTATCATTGAATAGGACATTTTCATATTAACCCGCATGTCAGATGGCATTAGTTTTACTCCCACTTTTAAAACTTCTTTAACCTTTTTCTCAGACACATGATTTCCAATCAGAAAAATTCGAACTCCTCCCTCAGTTTTTGAGCTATTATCAATATTTTTTCTTTGTTTTAAAGGTCTTGATCGGAGTAAACTTTTGTCCGAACGGATTTTTGAAAGTTGGCTTCTGGGCTGAGAAAAGTGGAATTTTCTGTCGTTGGACTAACATTTTTTATGCTAATGAACTTTTCAATCTCTGAAAAATGGCTTGTTTCACTTTTACATATCGCAATGTGAGAATCTATTTATAGAATAATAATGGAATTTTATCTTTGAAACGTTATTCAAATAATAGATTGTTTAAATTAATAGAATAGATATTTTACTTTTACTTCTATGGTTGACATTTTTCCTTTGAATTTTATAGAAAATTCAACGGTTTATATTTTAAGAGAAAATTTTGTCCAGAACTATTATTATTGAAATAGATATTGACAAAATAGTGAGAGACCAGTGGCTTAGCCAGGTCAATGACTATTAGTCAATTTACCTATGGATTTATTAAAAATTCTACCAATTGTCCAATGAGGAAAAATCTTAATAGAGATTTATATAGAAAGAGGGAACTTCTCTTATTATAATAGATGGTGTCTTCTTCTCATATAATCAAATAATCTAAGAAGATCAATTGACGATGTCTTTCTATTAAACCGATGTTGACATTGATGACAATTTAATGGGTTTTTTTCTTTTTGTTAAAATGATTGGTATTAGAGTTAAACTCGTTAATGGTTCTAATTGTGATTATTTATTGATATTGACATAATATATTGAAATATTTTAAAGGTGAAGAGTATTTTTTGTGAAAGAGTGGAAAAAAAAAGGAAAGAAGTTAGCCTCTTTGTTCAGAGCAACGAACTTTTCTTCAGTAAACATCGATTTTTGTGATGGAAATCAGTTTTTAAAAAATCTACCCAAATTCATATTTATTTATTTATTGATTTCTACTGATTATAATAATTGAGCTAGAAAACTGGTCAGTCTTCTCAAACAGATGGTATGACGAGTAAAAGGTTAAAATTTGTTGATTAGACCACTATAAGAGGATAATTGATTCTAATCTATCTGTTAGAATATAATTTAAAGATTTCAATATATATATTCGAGATAAAACTAATCTTTAATTAAAATAAATTTCAAATAAAATATTTTTATTTTTATTTTTTAATAAGATAATTAATATCTTCTGTTATGTAATAAATAAAATGATGATTGACTATGTATATTGATAAAATAATTTTCTCAGATTTATTCCTTCATTAGTCATATCTTGTTCTTCTCGCCATCCTTTATCGATTTTATCATCATGAGCTAACTAGAATAAATTAAAATAAATTTATTTCAATTATTATTTTCATATTTTTCAAATAAACTTCCTGATAAATAGTGTCATTTTTTTCAAAATCACCTGCTCGTCATGGAAGAATATGAATATGAACATGCTAAAAAAGAAACGAAACGATTTTGTTTAAATAAAAAAAAAAAAAAAAAAAAAAACTTTAACAATTTGTCCAGCATATTATCCATCTTGTATAGTAATAGTTAATGATTTAGCTTGATAATATTCTTCGATTTTTCTTCCAATTAATTGTGTAGATTGAAATAAATCATTTATTTATTCAGGATTTAATTGAGAAAATCTTTCAACACAACGAAATGGTGATACAACTACATCTATATGGAAATTTTTAACAATATACATAAATAAATAATTAAAATATAAAACTAACGTCCAAATACAACCGATTTTTTATTGACAAAAGCTAATGTTAATGTTGAACGAAAAAATATTTGATTTATTCTTATTTCTAATTGACCACAACGAATTTTTTCTTCATTTTTATCATCAATTGGTACTAAACATTTTTAGAAAATATTTTTTTTTTTCATAAAAAAAATGTTTCTAACCAATAATAGTTGTTGGTGAGATTAATTTATATAAATCACGTTGACGATGTTGAATAATTGGCATTTTTTCTCTAACTTGTTCAATATATCCAAGATCAATATCAATTGTTCGAACTAATGGAGAATCTAAATTCATATCTAAAAGAATTTTTCCCCATGGATCAACAACCTATTTTATAAATAATAAATAAGTTTTCATTAAATAATAAATAAATAAACACACTAAAGAATGTCCATAAGATTGACGTTTTCTATTGTGAGAATCAACTTGAGCAACAGCCACAACAAAACATTGGTTTTTGAATTGCTCGAGCACGAACTAAAATCTATATTTAACATTTTTTAACTTCCTTTTATCAATATATTAAATTTAAAAAAAAAAATCTATTGAAGAATAGAAGAAAATATATTTATTTTAGTTCTATCATAGATTATCATAGATATTATCTACAAACGGATATTGAATCAATCGAACGTTTTTTTCTTTTTCAATTAATTAAATAAATTAACTTTAACTTTATATTGAGACTAATATATACATTTGACCATATTGACCAACTTTTGCCTCGTTAAATTCAACTGGATATTTATTTATTAAAGATTTTATTCGATTTATAATTAAATCTTTCTTCTTATCTTTCACAATAACTATCAACGATAAAAACAAGTACATTTTTTTTTACAAATATTCGATCACTTATAATCATATTTAACATATCTCACATAACAAAAAGAAACGAAAAACATTATTTTTATGAAAATTTGAATATTTTATAAAATATTCTATAAGAATAAATCCTCTCTAAAAGTCTTACAATTATTTTAGAAGTTTCAGTTCGTGCTTAAATCGACTTGATTGATCCCTATTAAAAAGGCTTATTTATTTAATTATAGTTCCCTAAGTTTCATTGTGCTAATCAGGACGACATTCTCTTCATCAAGATGATTCACTAGAAAATTGAAATTTCTATTCGATAATAAATGACCGATCTTTCCACTAATCAATCTATATCGATTTTATCTATTTTTTTCACCTTGTTCTTACATTATGTATTTCAACTACTCAACAGTTCCATGACGGATAAATCTCAACTCTAGAACTACTTTTTAGATTTAATTTTAAAATAAAAGGCAAAGACCTTCGAAAAGTGATACTACCAATCACTGATAATGGGATATATAATCGATGGAAATTGTTAAATAATCAGCAAAGGTTGTCAATGAACCTACAGTTAGACAATGGGAATATTTATAGAGAATAACAACTACAAGTTATTAGAAAAGACTCCTGGTAGATCCAAAATAATATAAATAATAACTCTTATTCGAAAAGTAATAAATAAGTTTATTTGGAATAATCTGCGAAATACAAGAAAATAAGCTAACTAACGCCTTATTTCCAAGAGGACAATCAGTCGTGTAATTGACGATGATCTTCATTTCAATGTTGATCATATTATAATTGATTGAAACCTTCATGACAAACATAAACAACAAAGAATATCATTTCTATATTCGATACGAAACTCGTTAAGAAAAAAAAAAGATGAAGAAAATTTTTTTTTTTCAATGATAGAAAACATTTTCAATTGTATTATATATTCAATTATCGAAATGATCATTTTTATATTCGATGTCGTCAACAAAGAGATGAACGGCAACAAATAAAATAAAGAGGATTATTTGAAAAAAGAATTCTCATATACCTCGGAATATCAATATATAATCTTAGAAATCCATTCTGATTTCAATCCAGTGAAATATTTATAGATAATAACTATATTCAATTTGTTTTTCAAATCAACAAACTAAAGATCAATTCCTATTAGATAATCATTTCATCTATCAACAAGACAACACAAGATCGCATATACATTAATATTGACTAGTATAGATAAAGAACAACGTTTACTCAATTGATTCATCAAAGTAAAATAGTCTGCATCTCAACATTTTCAATAATTATGTCTCAGATCTTATTGGCTAGAATATCTATTGAGATATATTGAGATAAAGGCAAAAACTAACACCTATTAATTAATGAAATAATAGAGGGTATTAGTTATATACCAAAGAATCGTCTCATACCTACAGTCAAAAATCGATTAAATTGAATTTAATCGATTTTAAAAACAATATATATAGATAAAATAAGATTTTTTGTGTATATTAGTGAGATAGGATGAATTTCTCACTACTGACATTCTCAATTGACTTCTGACAATTGCTAAAACTTTTCTAATTGACTTTTTACATTATCTTTTAATTAAATAGGCTATCAGTAGACTCTTACCAATTTATTTATTAATTACACAAATTTTAGCAACACGAAATTGGGCGTTGTCAATACTCGAAGGATAAGAATTTTTCGATTTTTATTGGTTCTTCTCTAGAATTATGTGACCGGAAGCGAATCCGATGTAGGGTCTTTGTCATGCAGGATATGGGATAGTAGTGTCTGCACCCGAATCACATATATCTCCACATCAATACTCTTATTGATACTGAAAAGCTTTCAATCTGTCTTTCATGTTATTCACTTTTCATATGTCTACTTATACAGGTATTAAACTCAACCTAATATTTAACCGAATCATAACTTAGAATCGTTGGATTTCGCACGTTGAACTATTTTGTTTTCCAGTTGGTATGCCTTTCCTATCAATGGGTCAATTACTCATTATCGAAACATTGATCAATTTTTAAAAAAATTTGCCAAAGTCCAATTTTGTAAACATGATTAATAACTAGATTTATGACTTAAATACAGACTTTTCTCTATTGACAATAGTTGACTTTTTATCAGATTTATTTCCTTCAGCAAGACCAAACTTTCGGTAAGTGGCGAAAGTGATTACTACGAAATTAATGTTTTCCGATAAGAGTATTAACTATGTTGTGTTTTATGATATATATCGATTTAAAATAAACTCTATCAGATTCTATAAAGGTTAAGAGCTAAATCCGACCATTTTTTATGTAAGATCTATTCTTTTCATAAAAAATATTCGAAGATAAAACCAATTGCTAATTTATCAAGAATAGACCCTCTCGAAAAGTGAAAAAGGCAACTTTTTATTATCTAAAAAATCTGAAATCTAATTCTGTTTGAATAGGTCAATATCATCGAGGAAACAATTATCTAGAAAATGAAGTCTTTTCCAGGATCTCTATCAGTCTTTGTTCATCACACATTTATCTTAGGTAAGGTATAAAATTGGTTTGTTTTCTATTATTCGGTGTGAAAATATAATTTATTGGGTCTCTGATAACGATAAATCTCTGATAAGGAAAAAACCTAATGAATAGCTGGATGATGTTTGATTTTGTTGATAATTTATATTTCTATTGAAAAAGCTTATCGAAAAAAAAAAAATTCTATTGAAAGGAGAATTTGAATTATTGTTATCGGTTATGGAAAAAAAAAGATTTTAAAATAAATTTAGTAAAATGATATTGTCAATCATGATAGATTATCTTCTCTCAAAACTGTAAATAATTTCCTTTCTTATGTGTCGATTTTCTAAAAAGGCTTTTTCAAAATGAATTTTATGTAAAAAAAAACAAATGAAATAATATAAATAAATAAAAATTTTTTTTCTAAGAGAATTTATTATTTATCTGAATAAATAACCTCCCAATCAGCTTCTCCTCTATGTTTAGTAAATGCACTAGGATAAGTAAGAATTTGTGCACCATTTTCATGACGATGCTCTTAATAATCGAGTAAATTCAACAAAACGAAGATGATAACACTAAATTAAAATAATAGAATAGAATAGAAAATAATATACATTAAATAAAATAGAATTCGAAGGGCAATTCTTCCAGCTGGTGTTTCAGTTGTATTAGTAATAGATGAAGCAGGTTGTGTAAAATCTGACTCTCGAATAACTAGAGAAGCAGATTGAACATAAAATAAATCTATTTTAGAATATCGACCAAGAATCTAACCTTTATCATTTATTATTAAATGACTATTTAATACACGAGTTCCATCACCTGACTTAAATAAGATTTTTTTTCAATAAATTAATTTAAAAAAAAATTCTAAAACGGACTCGTTGATGAAAATGAGCTAATGAAATCCATAATTGATGTTGTTTTCCGAATTATCTATATCGATTTATAATTGGACCATCAATTGTTTCAGCTTTTTCAAGTCTTTCTCATATTGATTCAGATATATAATCAAATCCTTCACCAAAAAAAGACAATCTATTCAACATTTATTTGAATTTTAATTTAAATAAAAAATAAAAAAAAATATTTTTTTAAAACAAACGTTTAGCTTGTTCTTTTTTAGGTTGATTTATAAATTGTTCTCCTATTTGAAAATATTCTTGTTTATCAGCACGACTATTTTATTGAGAGACACCGATACCAACTATCTTAATTGACATATTTCGATAATTCAATTTTAATTTTAATATCGATTTTAAATAAATATCAATTCGATAAAACATTTAATTAACATTTTCTTTCATCTTTAAATAAATCATTTTTATTTAATTTTATTCGAAAAACAAAAACAAGATTTACAAATGAAAACTAATATAAAATAGTTCGATTTAATTATATATTAACAAATCGAAAGATATTAACTATTTTTCTTTTTTTTTTTTTTAACATATCAATTCAAACTGAGATTTTTTGTTTTTTCAAAAAAAAAAACCAGAGAAACAATTATTTGTCAGTATAAAATATATAATTTTATCTAAATTCTCTCATGTATGAGATAATTTAGATTAAAATTGAAATAAAATAAAATTTGAAAGTGAGAAACATTTTTTGTTGATAAATAGAAATAAAAGGTTTATATAAATAATTGATTCTGTTATTAAAAGATAATATATTCATCGGATTATCATTCAAAATAAAATAATTGACTCGATCGAATTCATTTAAGGGGGGACTGGACACCCCCCCTAAGGTACCAATTTTTTTTGACCAGTTTGTAGAGCAAGTGA